AAATATTATCTTCAATATATCATACTTATCAGTCCGAGCAGCGTTTATTTATTTATAACTACTATTATGCTTATGTAAATGAAAGCCATACAAATAATGTTTGTATAATTCAGTATACAAATAATGTAACTGACAATTTACATGAGTTTCTATTGGAAATGTGTTTCTAATCAAGCAAATATGGTAATGTTTACCGGGCTAGATCAAAGATATAGGTCAATATTTTGGTTAGAAACCAGAAAACAGCGCAACTATTTTAAAATGACAAAAATAGACAACAATGGTGTAAAGGGCCTAAACACACAACAAGGTCAAACAATGACCCTGCATGAAGCAAAGTTTTGTATTAACCATGCGCTGCTACCTTGTATGATACACTGCGTATTAAACTCACCTTGCATAGTCTTTAATCTCTGGCAGTCCTTTTTCTGCAAGCTCTCCTTTATGAGTTATCCGACAACTGTGTTTTCCTGCCATGCAAAAGAACAAAGGCTTTCTTTAACAATCTACGCTTTCTTCTGCAGTACTTTAATTACTTTTGGAGCTATTGTGCCATGGTTAACTTGTCTCACCGCGATTGATGTCCACACATGAACACCTGTATGAAATGCGGCAATGGCAGGCATTTGTATGCTGCCTAATTCCACTATTTGAGGATTTTGTGTCACATGAGATTTTTTGTGTACAGTAATATATGCGATTTTTGTTTGCGTTTCTTTGTAGAATACAATCTATCTGTATGAATAGGATCTTTATTAACTGATACATGGCCATTGGCCCAAAACAGTTAAAACATTTAAATTATTTACAATATTTCAGCGGCTTCCCTACCAAGTTTCATAGCATTAAATATAAAGGCAGCTAAGCGCTGTAGAAGTACATCATTTTGAGTTTTGAATAATTCAAGAAATTTATTTACAGTTGGTGGGGTGCAGTAGTAGTGTGGGATATAGAGACACCTAATGTGATTATAAAAGTTACAAACTAACAAACAAGCAGCCTGTCGGCTGAGATAGCTCCGCTGTTAGCAATGCACATTGCAATTAAAGATCAGAAGATATCATTAGAAAATGAACAATATGTGTAGTTTTCAACAAGAATTCAAAAATATCACTTTTCACCAAAAATAATCATCAAAATTAGATAATTGAAATGACATGATATGAACAAATCTGAGAGAGGTCCACATGTAGTACCTATATATGTAATATCAGAGCAATTGGACTTGCGGTTTTTAACAACAAGTCAAAAATATCACATTTTACCAAAAATATTCACCAAAATTAGAGAATTAAAGATATCATCATGAAATGAACAAATCTGAGAGAGGACCACATGTAGTACCTATATATGTAGTATCAAAGCAATTGGACTTGCAGTTTTTAACAAGAAGTCGAAAGTATCACTTTTTACCAAAAATTACAAAAATATTCACCAAAATTAGAAAATTAAAGATATCATTACAAAATGAACAAATCTGAGAGAGGTTCACATGTTGTACCTATATATGTAATATCAAAGCAATTGGACCTGCGGTTTTTAACAAGCAGTCATAAATATCACTTTTTACCAAAAATTACAAAAATATTCATCAAAATTAGAGAATTGAAGATATCATCATAAAATGAACAAATCTGAGTTAGAACCACTTGTAGTACCTATATATGTAATATCAAAACAATTGGACTTGCGGTTTTTACAGCGAGTGCAAGATATTTACATACACCTAACTCGTGCACCCGCTAGGTAATTACCGAGGGACTTTGCAACATCCCCAGACACTTTGCTAGACACCCCAACGACCGTTGTAGACGCAATAAAGTTACATACACTCTCACGTGACAGTTAATCAAAACACCGAACGCGGTATACCTTTGATGTGTGGGCACGAGGAACAGAGGTAGTTGGAATATTCCATTGCTTTGTAGGTATAACAATCATTGCTGTGTAATACTTGGAAGAAATATAATACGAACATAAAACTGGAAATGAATATTAACAAGAAACGTTAAAAGTAAATTCCTTCGATTGTTAGTTTGTTGAGATGTTGTCAATGGGTTTATACACAGTCCTATTAAAAATGTCGCGTTTGCGCATAATGGCATGTCCCATTGCCAGTTTGCCATACAGCGCCCAGTCAGTCTTTTCCCAGGAATCTTCTACTTTATAGTTTTACATACTAGTATATAGTATATACCGTCACCATGTACCAGTTTCAAATATCGTTCAGATCTCGTGTTTTGCAACGATATTCCGAATGTATGAAAACATACAGTGAGTTTGAACGGTTCATTAGAAGTAACGTAACAAGGCTTGCAGACAGAGTCTTTCAAATAAGATATGAAAATGATGAAGGGATCTCCGTAATATTGTCGGACTGCGACTTTGACATGCAGGACATGTTTCGATGTGCCAAGACCAATGCCGATTACCTCCGTATAAAAGTTATAATCACAGAGGGTTGTTCACCAGCACCAAATCGGTTAGGTAATTCCGAATCGATAACTGGCAGTCGACCTAAACAGTTGGAATTTGGAAATATTGCCGAAAATTGCAATCGCCCCAAGAATTGGAAGAAACAGAAAGAAGACGCCCTCGTGAAAGAAATTTCACGTTTAAAAGACGAGAAAATGGCGATAGCGTCACAGAGGGCCGAATTGGATCGCCCCGTTCAAGAGCCTGAGCCTGTTGGTACTAACATCAGAAGTACCGTACGTGCCAAATTTGCCATCGCAAAGGCCATAAAGCTGCTGGAAACCGTAACAATGATGGCTGTTTAGTCGGTGAACCGTGTCGTGATTACATATTCTGTGGGAGAAAGGACAAACATAAACAAGATTATGTGGCCCAAATTAAAAAAATGAAAGACCGCGAAGCCAAGCTTTAATACAAATAGGATAACAGGCAAAGAAAACAAACTTAAACAGCTACGCGACTTTTATAGCCGTGCAATGTCCGTTTTCACCACAACAATCACACCCAGATTACAAGCAGCTTTCCCGGAGAAGTACAGTGCACGATCCAAGGCGGGTAGATTGGAACTACTGAGAGATATCAGCATATTGCGTAAAGCATACAATAGCAATGCCAATAGTTTACCAACCCAGGACAGCCCACAAACAGACAGAACAGAAATTCTACTTGCTTTTAATAAAGAAACAGTCAGCGGAATTTTCCGGT